AGCTCGCATTAATGCATATTTTACATTTAAGATACTGTTCAAGATTTTTACAGAAAGAAAAGATTTGGAAAGAAGGGGTAAAATGGCTTTACACAGTGTTAATCAGCTGCTACATGAGAAGTGCTAGATTCCTCAGAAAAGTGGACCTCATTCAACTCAAATAATCATAGCAACTTAGTATCTTCCTAAAATGAGCATTACTCAAAGTAGTGATTTCATTAAGCATGTGGTCAATTATCAAAATTCTTTTATATTGTGCCCATTTAATAGAAAAATAGTGCATCTCTCTGTGTAAATCGTGAATCTTTTTGATGACCAAAATACATTACTTAAGCATTTCAATCACCTTCTTAATTTTAAAACTCATGTTTTTTCTGTATTATCTTATCCTGCAGCCATGTTTAGGCCGTGCATGCCTGTGCAAGACATGATGCAGGCAGTACAAGCCATCTGAAAAAAAGCTGCTTACACGGTAGTTTCTTCCAGCACACTTCTAGTGACACGTTGTATTGATTTGAATGCTCTGCAGCAAGTAGGGTCGGTTTATATATTGAGAATCCATTTGTACACGGCATGTCCTCCACAGTGGAAATATGTGTGTGTGTGTGTGTTAAAGGATGCAGCATGTGACTCTTATTTTGAAATGCTCAGAGTGTATGCAGTGGTCAACCCAAGATTTTAGAATAAATAAAAACATATTTTAGCCCAAAGCATGCCACAAAACCCCCCTATTTTATTCTTTTGTGATACACTGGAGTTCTAATATTTTCTGAGTGCTCCAAAAATTACTGGGCAGTATTTTCTACTGAATTGCAAACCTGTAGTTTTTGATGACAATGGTCCATCACTTCAGGTTATCACGTAAAATCTGTATTTCTGTTAGCAGCATATGTGCGTTGCTGCAAATGCATTTTAGAGCCTATGTTATGTTAAACACAGTTGCCACTCAAACGTGCAGGATGCAGCAAGCTGGTTTTATTACATAACTCTGAATGTGTTTGCAGCTGGGTCCTAGCTGGGCAAAACAGATGCTGGAAGACATAAAAGGATTAAACTGTCTCGGTTACATGCCCAACGTTTTGCTAAATATTTTACGTAGCATCATCTGGCACGTTAATTATGTTGTATTATTACTGGGTTAGAAAAGAGTAGTTATAAATAAAAAGCCATTTTTTCCTGCTGCTTTGAACTGAAGCAAAATGTTAATAGTAACAGCAGTATGTTAAGTTTAATATTTATCATAAAGTGGAAGCCTAAACAATTACGTGAGTAACGAGTAATGTCTGCTGTCTTTCGAAGGGTCCTTCTCAGCAGGAGTTGACATCTGAAGGTGCCCACTAAAGTACGTTCTGAGAATCTCCAGTAAATTGGCTGATAGCAGCTTTTGCTGTGCACTGAAGAGTACTTTAACTGGAAAGCCAAATGCCAAATTAATCACAGATAAAAATAGCGAGTTGCTCCGTTCTCTTTGTAAAATCAGAAATAGTCTAAAAAAACTTTTTGTGAAGCTGAATTTTCTCCAGATTAAAGCCCAGAGCTATATAACCTGTGATCTCAGATCAAATTATTTTAATGGTTTTTCATACTGTAATAACTGCAATTAAAACTTGAAAATGAGGACAACTTTTACTACAGAAAAACTGCAATGGAAAATATTCTTTAAAGAAGATGAAAGACATTTAAGTAAGTCCTAGGATTTCATCTAGTCTGAAGCAGCATCATCTCTTTCATGTGTGAAGTACCTGAGAGCATTAACTTCTTGGACTTAAATGTCTTGTATGCACTTAGCTAGGTTGGTCTGTGCATCACATACAGTTCTGTGGCCTCTAAAACCATTCACTTGAGTGCCTTGTAATCACTTGTAATATATTTGTGCTTACAACACAGTGGAGAAGTATTGTCCCTCATTTTAAGACTATGAACAAAAAGAATAAACGGTTACCTTGGGAATCCGTAACAAAACAGAAGCAGCTGTCAAATTTAAGGCAAAAAAAAAATCCTTTATCATGTTAGTTTGGGTACTTTTTGTAACTCTGACAAGAAAAAATATTTGGATGAATAGGGAAGTACATCTAAAGGACTCTTCTGTCTTCCAGTGCACAATACAGTAAGTCACATAAGAAGTCTTAGAAGTTAATTTGGCTTTATTTGAACAGAATACAGTCACCTAGAAAACAAGCTACCTCTTTTTTTAAACACTGACAGATGCAAGAGACAGCACAGGTATTACTGGAGAAGCAGTAGTTTCATTATCTCCTAAACTACTTAGAATAACAGTACAATTTATTAGGACAATCTATTTGTGAATACTTGCCCTAACAAGTTCTATCATGCACTCAAGTGAGATATAAACTATCCAGTCTTTAAGCTTACTAACATCATATTGTGCAAACAGTTTCAAGTAAATACTTCTACCTAATTTGAAAAATCTGTCACCTTCCACAGCACCACATGAAGTTCTGGTGTTAAAATAACATTTAATCCACAGCAATAGCTAAATACTTATGTAATACACTGTAAACTCTACATAAACATGACATACACCAAAAAAAACCCCAACATACAAAGAACAGGAAGATCATTTTGATCAGCAAAGACAACTCAAATGTATGGCCAAAATAATTTTTCTGTTCTTACGACTTATCCCCAAACCACTCCCAGAAAAGGCACAGATAGTGGTGATTTTTTTTTATTTTTTAAAAAAACCCACACAAATCCAGAATCAACACAATAGGCCTATGCAGTCAAACACTGCTCTATTTCTAGGAAAAACAGGTAAGGAACTTGCATCAGCCTAAAGATGTCCCCAGGAAGATTCTAGTCATCTCCAGCATCTGCTGACTGTCCTAGGCTCAGATGCAGAAAAGAATTAGAAATTAAATGTAGTTTAGCAGAAGCCTACTGTCCATGTGGGATAGGAGTGCCGGCTAGAGCTACTGGCCTATTCCGAGGCAGTATCGAGGCTCATCTCACAATCAGTGATTGATGGCACTCAGTAGAGATGGTGTGTTTTAAATTAAATTGGCAATTATGCTCCAAAAGTACTTGACAATGCTTTTACATTGAGTAAACAAAGCCTTTAAATAAATAGATCTTTTAAAATGTAGTGTAACTACACAACTTACCACAATGCTTCAATACACAATGGAGTACAGCTCAGAAAATTATTTAAATTGTTCTGACTTTTGACTCCTACAGCACCTAGAAAGTTCTCTACCAGCAAATGATGAAGTGTTTGGCAAAGAAATGCTATTGGTAATTCTTTAAACAAAGATCCAAATAGATTTGTTATCCCCTTTTTGTTAGAAACAGAAGCATTTAAGAAAAAATACTTTAATAAATCTATATCCTAAGCTATCTAATACTACTTCTACTAGTACGAGAAAACAAATTGCCCTGTGTGATTTATATACATTGATGAACCGAGACTCGGATGCTTCAGTGGTTTCCCAGAAGACAGAAAGCATTGCTGGAGTCTAGCACGTTTTGTTTCAAGTGATCTTTGAGAAGTTAGAAAAAAAACCCCTCCATTTTGGCATTGCTGCTTCTAGGGCGTATTCCAAGTACTCGAGTAACCATAATCAGTGATCTAGAAATCTGCAAAAGACGCTGATATATTGCATTCATGGTATGAATATATACACTGATATATTGCATTCTTCATGAAAGAAGAAGATTGAGCGCTGAATTTTCTACATAAAAATGGAGCTTGAGGTATTTATACGACCCTCTGTAATAGAGATTAAATCTTACCCATTGCACGTTGTCTGCCGTCCTTCGGGACTTCTTACACGAAATATCATTCCTACGTTACTATTAGGAAGATCTACTATTGCACAAGTTGCAAATAAAACTCAGTCTAAACTTTATTAGCTATAAAATTTGAATACTAACAAAGTACTAAGCTCAGTACAAAAGACTCAAGCAATTGGCCTGCACTGAGACTCGAAAAATGAACGAGCAGGTCCTGCAGCCTGCACAGAACCCACGCCACCCCACACCGGGCAGCACCTCCACACAAGCTGCAGCACACACACCTCAAGTCAAATTCCTTCCGCTGTCCGCAACAGTGAACCTTACAGCAATGAGCTCAAAATGGGTTTTGTTGAGACCAAGGGTAGTTGCTGGCCACGTTGACAAAGTGCATTTTATCTGTCAAAAACGCCTGGGATAGATTAAAAATAATAAAACACTGTATGGATTCACTCTGTTTCTTTAAATGGCCATATTAAATCCTGTAGACACCAGATATTCTGTCGGGTAAAAAAAAAAAGCTACAAGATAGACACAATCCAGCTGGCACAAAGGGGCTGGATCACCAGTGTCACAGGTTGAAACTCAGCCGGTAAGGCCTCTCATTTAAGCACATCACCTGAGTGAGATTCTCAATTTGCTTTTGATAACTGAAAAAGTGCCAAGTAATTTTCAGTAACTTGTTTCCATCTCCTGTATTAACTCCAGATCATTTTTTTTTCAGAACTAGTAGAGATTTTAGTTAATCTGAAAACCATATGAATTATTTTGCATTCAGTATAGGGACAGTCTGAACAAAAATTACTGTAATTTTTAATTCATGCACAAATATTATAATTTCTCAAGTGGTTAACTGGTTAGTTTTCTAGACTGTTGTCTGTCCGAGATGGGAACCAAATTCGCTGGGCACGTATCAGCAACGCTAAACTAAAGAATATAAGACATCTCAATTCCCTTTCAGGATAAAACGTAGACTAGCCAACATGGCCTAAAATCATACATGATTTTATTTACGTAGTTGTATTGATGATATAGCTTAACATTTTCACGTGGCCTTTGTAAAACATCTTTCTAGTTTGGGTGAATATAGCTAGTGTTATATGATTATTTCTTAGAAAACGCATGCACTCATGAAAGGCTATGATGAACTGAACACATTTGCTACAGGGCATGTTTAAAACACTACTGCTTGCAAGAACATCAGTTTGACGTAGCCTGTTATTGAACGAAATAGGCCAAAATTAAACTTTGGCATGCCAGCACACTTTAATTGTATTTGTGAAATGGTTTTTCAAACTTAGGAGTCCTTTTCACTACTTTAAAAGGAAAATCCACACATACACACAAAATTCTAACAATTCTAACACCATATTTGCTCTTTACCGACTAGCATATACCTTGGCTTAATGTTCAAAGCGATTAAATCCCTCAAGATTGTGCATATCCAGGCATTACTGAGGAAATAAAGACACCCATCGCTATTCTTCTTAAATTTTATTCCATAATAAAAGACAGAAGATGAAAGAAATAAAGCGTTCAAGAATTAAAGCAATTATTGGTCAACAAAAGGAGCAGTAAACTAATTATCTGAACAATGATTAAGGACCTGGTTCACCAAAAGCAATTCTGGGTCCTCCATGGCATATTTGTAGGCTCCTACAAAATAATCCAGATTATCTTTTACTGAAGCAGGTCCTACATTATCTACAGAACACTTGATCTCATATTCTATTTATCCTTCTCTTTTTGTTCTTTTTCCTTCTTTTCACGTTCAGCTTTTGCTTCCTCCTCCTCATGTTGTTTTATCAACTGTTCCACCTCCTTCTGCTTCAGAACCCTTATGACTGTCTTTCCGTTCTCTCTTGTCAGTGTTGCAATTTCGACTGAAACATACGGAACAGACGCTGGCGTTACATTTTGTCCTTCAGACAGAGCAATCATCAGAAGGGTACCTGGTTACAACCCACAATGAAGCACAAGGCTCTTGTCCTGCCTGTACAAAAAAGCCTGACCGGCAGGGCAGGCGGCAGCAGTCCTCTTCTGCAGTGGCGTAGCACGTGCGGTCGCACCTCTCCGGTGACTCCTCTACCAGACACGGAGCCCGTTCTGCTGCCGTACCAATGGAGCCCGTGATCCCTGAACTGTGGTCCAGCCCCTGCGGCTGACCACGGTGCATCAACCTCAACTAAGCTATCTGTATGCCTCTTAGAAAGGTCAAGGCTGAGAGCTGCTGCATCTTCTAAAAACACTTTTCACACGACAGCTGCAAATCTGATAAAGCACATCTGGTGGACATACGTTCACCTTTTCTTCTTTTAAGTGAAGGGCGTTACCCCGTGTTAGCAAACTGCTTACCTTTCTCTGCAGAGAGTTTGCTAACATCCATGGTTTTGTTGAGAACCTTGATGGCTAATGCAAGCGCCGTCTTCAAGGTCATTTCTCCTTCTTTGTAGTCTTGCTTTAGCATTGACACAGCCGCCTATAAATTTCACAGAAATTAAAATTATATCTTTGGGCAACCAACCAAACAGGTGCTTTTTGCCAGACAGTATCAATGCATGAGTAACGGCAGTGTTTCTACAGTTAGCTGTTTCTACTCTGCACTAGTAATCAACAACTCAGTTTAATTAGTACAGTGCAATTTACACTTTTTTTTTGTTGACTTTTTAAGAGGAAAAAAACCCAGAACTTACAGCACTATTGTTCCCAATGCATGTAGCTTTCCACCCTCCATAATTTCCACTAGGATCACTTTGATACAGCTGAAATCCGTAATGCTTATCCCAGCCAATATACAGCAAAGAAACACCAAAAGGACGTTTTCCTGTTGAAAAGAAGGCTATTAGCAGTCTAAATTTAGTAACAAGATTCGTCATGAGTGACACTTATTTTCTTTGATTTCATTTTTTCAAATCCATTCCTGTGAACTAGGATTTAACAGACTGTTCTGCACTTCTGTTGCTTGAGATAAGCACACCAGCACTTCTTTCTAAGTCTTGGGGGGCGGGTAGCAGAGGTTTACTTAATTTAACCCTAAGAGCAGCTCATTTCTGTCTCGACATATCTCAGGCCTTTAAAATCAAAACTTAGTATTTAAAGTACGTAGCTTAGCTGTTAAAGCATATAATTTAACAGTGTCAAAAGCCAGGTACATAAAAAGGTCATTCTTTCATGTATGCAAAATACCAGAATCATGACCTCACGTACTGAGGAACACTACTTACATCATCATTTTCTAACGCATTCCTTGATCCACAGAAATAGTAGTTCTTTAAAGTGCTACAACATTGATACTCCTATGTATAGTCTTATTTGTGACTCGTGCCATTATGCTGGATGGGCCCAAAACGTTGAAAGGTTACATACCAAACAATTCTCTGCTGGTCTTTGGAGGGCATTCACTAAATCCAAGAGCATTCAAAGCATCCTATGCAAAGGGCCGGAATCTCAGCCATCAAATTCTCAATCACTAAAAAAGCAGCACCTTCAGTAGCGGAACAGTAACCATGACTGCCCATTCCCCTTTTAAATTTGGCTAGTGTTTTTTCCTGGTATAACTCATTACAGAAGAATTTGGTACAACTGTCCAGAGACAGACGCTTCCAATTACGTCACAGAATCATTCTTTAGACATTTGAAAGCACAACGGTTCATCGCACTGTGTTACCTCCGAACTGCGTATACGCCTGCTTGATGTCACATAGTGCTGTCACCAGTTGTTCACAGGGAATAGGCTCTTGATATTGTAACAAATACCTAGTATGAAAGAGAAGTTTTCAAAACTCGTTTTGCTAGCAGCATCCCGTACCACATCTAACAAGAAACAAGCTGCTAAGTTAGAGCCTCTGTGGTCTAGCTGTTTTATTTCAAACAATCTACTTGTGCTCTACTGAACACATGTTCATTTTGATTTAGCACGCAAACAGAACTTCTGAATCCGACAGCGCGGGCAAGCGAAACCACGTTAACCATCAGCAGACCTACCTCTGCGCAATCAGTCTCAGTTCGTTTGTTAGAACATTGGCATCTGAAGTTATTCCTGCAACACTGCAAGCCATATCCCTGCAAGATAAGCACACAAATTAACCGAGCTCCTATCAGTCGCCAACAAACAGCCACATCTGCGTACAGCGGTCCCAGCAGAACACCTGCTGTTGAGCTCTTCTGATCAGAACTACGTAGCTGCCCTATAAAAGAGGTTCATCAGCTCCCACCTTTAGGGCACACAAAAAATATTACGTAACCATTTCGTAAGAGCAGAGGTGGGCAGCAAAAAGTAAGCGGGTCAGTATGTTAGTTACACACATAGTTCTGGCAAGACGATCATGCCAAAGATGATTAAGTCCCGAGCGTCTTCACAAGAACCACTAGCTACATACAGGTGCCCATCAGGAGGCCACCTAACACAGCACACGGGAATGCTGACGGAGCCATACGGATGTGACAGGCCTTCCGTGGAAGTTGCTGGCTGACGCATTTCATTTGTGTAACTGAAACGTAGTGATCTTGATTTGACCTTAAGAAAAATAATCCCTCCGCATCCTTAATTGTTTTGTTAGCTCCTAATTTAAGATCTCTTGTGCCCAATCTGATGTTGCTACAAAGCTTTCACTACACATAAAGAACTAAAAAGAAATAATCCAGGTTATTTTTTCCAGGTGAATCGAAGAATTTTTCAGAAGGTGGAAGAGCTGGCCTAGGAGACTACTCCAGCACTCTGTTACGCAGCCTCCTTGAAAATCCAGTACTTCCTATGGTTCTAGCTGCTTTCAAGATCAACTCAGAACAGGAGGCTAACAGAAAGAAAAGCTATTTGTGTTTCATGTGCACCTTCTGGCAAGGATGAAGCTCTGCCTCCCTTATAGGCAAGAGGACATAATCCATAACACTTTACTTCGACATCACAAATTCAACTTCCAGAGAGCCAAAAAGGAAATCATAATAGGGAGATATATCACCTCTGCTACAACTGTGGCAAAGAAACTTAAGGCATGTTTTACCTAATTATCTAGTTCTTTTTAAATCGCAAAAGAAAAACAAAGACTTCGGAGAGGATGCTGAGCTGCAATAGCATGGGGATTGTTGTGTGCACTCTTTATTCTGACCCCCAAGTGGTATTTTGTAAAACTGAGAATTCCCAATTTTCCTAATAACGCTACCTTGTATGGGGAAATACCAAAAACCAGGCTATTTCACCTAGAAAAAGCTCTCAGATATTAAAAAAGAAGTGACACTTCCACTTTAGAAGGAGAACTGCTGAAGCGAACCATGATAAAATAGTCATACCTGTCTAAAACACTAAACAAAATGAATACTAACACTTCAAATCAAATCAAATCAGGTTCAGTGCTAAAATTGCTGACTAACAGCAATATTTTGTTACTGATAACGTCACTGGACATCCGACCATCATTTCAACTTACTCGTTAAGTTTGTATATTTTCTCTGAGAAAAACACTTCATCAAGAAGCTTGTGAATGTTGCGTCTCTCTGCTGCTAGCAAAACACCGTCGTTTGCTAGAATTCCCAAGCAAGTACCTGCGTGTCCAATTGCTTCCATTGCATACTCAACCTGGTACAAGCGACCTAGGAAATGACTTAAGTTAGTAACATCAAAAAAAGTAACACTGAAGACCAAGCACAAAAGGCGATTTAAATTTGCAAGAATCTGACAGATACTCATTGTACAACCTAGCCTTAGTTCTGCAGTCTACAGCAAATTGATTGAAAAGGAGGAAGGAGTCAGAGAAGGGAAACCTACAAATCTGTTAAGGTAATACAGGGCATCACCAATGTGGAAAAAAACTTTTATTTTACTACAAAAAAACCCCAACAAAAACTACGGAACCCTCTGCTGCAGTAGAATGAGCCAAAATGGATTTTCAATAACCAAAGAAAACGTGATACTAGAGTCCATCTCATCCAATAAACTGGAAAACATGGTTTGTATGTACTTGTTTCAGCACGTGTAAGAATAACAAGCGGTGCGACTGCACCAGCGCAATGCTGCGCGTTCACGGGGGCAGAGGAGGAACAGTAACAAAACCCACCCATGCTTAAACAAAAGAGGGATGGTGAAGATTTGCTCCAGTTATTTCAAAAAACGTGACAGGCAGTATTACTAATGGGGCATGGTCTCATTGTTGCTTGAATCAGAACAAATTTGGAAGTCTCCACTTTGGACCCCTGGTGCCCTTGCAGAACTGGGCGCTACTTCTAGCTGGTGGATATGATTTCCACAGATCATATAGGGACAGAAACAGGCTACAAACAAACAACCTTTGTACAAACAGTTTGTTATTTAGCTTTGAGAAGTTGAATAGCACAGAGTTTACTTGAGAGTGCGGGGTTAAAAATACCTTCTGGAGAAAATATGGTAGTTCTGGAGTCATATCTTCGAGACTGTAAAAAGCAACAGCTCGTTAAATATCACCGTTCTCTCGTCAGAAAGCCACGTTCTAACAGCAGCGGTGCTCTGCGCCGCACACAGAACAACCGGTCGCTTCATGACCCCACTTCGGCCCCCGCGGC